CAGAAATAGAAGTAAAGAAAGTATAAAAGAGGGCTGGGAAGGTGGCTCAGTGGTAGAGCGCTTGCCTTGCATGCCTGAGGCCCTGGGTTCCATTCCTCAGCACCACATAAGCAAAAAGAAAAAAGCCAGAAGTGACACTGTAGCTCAAGTGGTAGAGCGCTAGCCTTGAGCTGAGGGACAGAGCCCAGGCTCAGAGTTCAGGCCCCACGACCGGACCCCCAAAAAAAGAAAAGGAATAGAAACAAAAGTATCGAAGAAACAATTATATATGGAAAACAGCTCAAACATTTGTGAAAAACTCATAGTTAACATAATCAAATAAAGCCTAATAACTGGTACAAACCAAGGATACTTTTCTACAACAAAGTAATTAGGAATACAAGCAAGTAGGCACTGGCGGCTCACACCTGTAATCCTAACTACTCCCGAGCAGAAAGGTCTATTATTTGGAGATAAGAGGCAATATCTCCAATTAACCACCAAAATGCCAGAAGCAGAGCTTTGGCTCAAGTGTCAGATTACTAGCCTTGAGCAAAAAAAAGCTCAGGGACAACACTGAGAGTTCAAGTCCAGGACTGGCACTACAAAAATAATAAGTAATAAAATAACAACTACCCAATGTAATAAATAGATTCAGTGCAATCTCAATACCACTCTTCACACACACACACACACACAAAAGAAAAATTCTAAACATCATACAGAACCAAAACTATTCTGAAAAAGAAAAACAAACTCTGAGGAACACATTTCCTGAGGTAAAATTATGTTACAAATCTATAGTAATCCAACATTAGAGACTGGCCGAAAAAACAGACACATACACCAAGAGAAAAGAACAGAAGGGCTGGAAGCTAGTGGCTCATGCCTGTAATCCTAGCTACTCAGAAGGCTGTGGATCTAAGGATCACAGTTCAAAGCCAACAGTCAGAAAAGCCTGAGAGCCTTTTATCTCCAACTGACCACCAAAAAAGCTGGCTCATGTGGTACAGTGCTGGTCTTGAGCAAAAAAGCTCAGAGACAGCACCCAGGTCCTGGTTTCAGGTCCTAGGACCAACAACACAAAAATAAATAAATAAATAAATAAACATGCTGGAAAGACTGGGGATTTCCACATGGAAAAGACTGAAATTAGGCACTGAACATACATAATACACAAAAATAAACCAAAAGAACAAAAATATACATGAACTGAAATTCTAGAAGAGAACACAGTTGGGGAAAGCTCCTGGACACTGACCTTGGCAATGACTTTTTTTGTCAAAATAACAAAATGTTCAAGCCACAAAAGCAAAAATAAATAGGACTGCATAAAACTAAACTGCTTCTGCACAAATACAGTTGCCAGTGGCTTGCACCTATAATTCTAGCTACACATAAAGGCAGCTTGGGCAGGATTCTTTTCTCCGGTTAACCACCAAAAAATCAGAAGTGAGACAGGTGCCAGTGGCCTACACCTGTATTCAAGCTAAAAGGAGGCTGAGATCTGAAGATCGCAGCTGGAGGCAATTGCAAGCAGGAAAGTCTGAGATTCTTACCTCCAGGTAACCACACACACACACACACACACACACACACACACA